CGACATCTGGTCTTCCATTTTCACATACCTCCAATTGGCCTCCTTCATCTTCTTCTTCTGCAGCCCCATTCCTCAATTCAGAATCAAAAACCCTATTTTCAAACCCTAAATTGGATTGAGTTTCAGCACTATTTTCATCAGAAACCTCAGTTTGTGCATGAGAATCAACAACAATAGATTCTAAAGAGTCAACCCTTGGAATTGTAGGGTTAGTATTAAGAATAGGAGCTCTACACATAGGACAATTAGTATGAGAAGTAAGCCACGTATCAATACAAGGTAAATGAAAAGCATGATGACACTTAGGTAAAAGTCTGAGACTCTCATCTTGTTCAAACTCACTCAAACAAACAGAACATTCAGTTCCTTCAATCAAACCTTCACCTTTCTTATACTTACAAACACTAATTGCATTTATAACTGATTCATGAAGACCTTGAGTTCGAATATACCAAATTGGATGATCCACAATAGATTCATCGTGTTGTTCATCATCAAAATTCATCACCTGGATTTGTTGAACCCTTGCTGATAATGATGATGATGGTGGTGGTGGTGTTCTTGTCCTTGCCACTGCACTTGACCTAAACCTTCTTCTTCTTGAACTACAATTCACATAAACTGCACGAATACAAACAAGAAAGAAAATAAGAGCAAGAAGAGAAAGAATGATGATGAAGTAATTGGTGATTTTGTGGTGGTTTTGATTTGAATTGTAGAAGGGAAATTCTTCTTGTGGTGGTGGTGGTGGTGGAGAATAGTAATAAGGGTTTTGGAGATTGGTTAAACAAATATTGAAGCAAACAGTGCAATCTTTGTTTGATGAACAATTAGGTGTGTGACATATCGAGTCGCATATTTCTGAGAACAATTTTCTGTGATGTAATCTCATATTATAATTATTTCGTTACTATACAATTCTATTCAGATGAAGATGATAATAAAGTGAGGTTTACAACTATGACTTTTCAGCTTCCATTGAAGTAGTATTATATAAGTATAATAAAGTAAATTTTGTACTAATGTTTTTTTTTATTAGTTAGGGTATCATTTGCACGTAATTCATGAGATTAATCTCTAGAACTTTGTAAAAATATATAGACGAGCCAACGAGCCTTGTATGACCATGAACCATTTAGGATAAGGGGAAATTCCAGCAGGTTTGCCAAGTTATTTTGTCTTTGACTTTTAAGATTTGATTTGATTGATTTTTATACGGTTGTTGTTGGTTGCTTGGATTTTACTTTCAAAGTAAGATTTTCTTTTCATATTAAATCTCTTTAAAATGTGGAATTGGAAAGAAAAAAAAATTGAATTTTATAATTATTAGGATTAATACTATTTTTTTAAAATTATTTTATGTAATTTTTTTTTTTTGGATTATCGCTCTCTGAACATTGAATCTGGGGTAAACCAAAAATATATATATTAAAGGGGTAATTTGTGCATTTAGGAGACAAAAGACATAAAATTTTAACATTTCAAGAGGGTGGTCAAATTTTTTTTTACACGAGGTAAAGCGAATTTTGTCTATATTACAAAGGGTGTTGTATATTTAACCCCAATTATTATAATATATCTCATATTTCAAAATAAGAATTTATGTACGCTATTTTTTTTCTACAAATTCAATTGTTCTAGTATGTTCACAAGACATATAGAGAAAGATTTAAGAGTGACATCAAACGAAAGAGCGTGTTGAGTAAGTGATTCTTCATTCCACCCGGGGCAGATAATTCCTCTCTCCAGACACGTCGACAAACATCTGATTAAAATCAACAATCACATGCATAATGCACCTTCTCTCACACAGAGGGTTTTAATCGCTCATAATATATAAGAAAGAAAGTGCCCCATTTCAGTTTTTTGAATACATTTTCACTCTCACATTACTTCTTACTCTCTCACTGACTAATACATTGGAGAATTAATCTTGCAAGTCAACCCCTTCTCCACCGCATCAAAAATTTGCTCCACTGATCCAAAATCTCATCTCACCATTTTACTAAGCATTTTTGGTTTTCAAGCAGAATTGTGGCGGCGCCTGTGACAATCGACTTATGATTCCTACAAATTCCTCAAAGAACAAAAATTTTGTGTCGCAGATCCAAATCTCTGATTCTTTCCTCGAATAACCTAATACCAAAATCCCAGGGCTATAGTGAATTCAAAAGTAACTTAATCTGTCAAAGTTTCCACTACAACTGTCAAAGTAAGCCGAGTTTATCCCCTTTCACTTGAGATGGACGATCCAATCCTAGTAACTTCTGCCTTCGTTCCAATGCCACTTAAATTTGGTTTCTCCAAGAGTCGACCAAGGTAAACCTTCAAACTAGCCTCCTTTGCAATCTCTGGTACCAGGACAAGAGATGATTTCCAACCTCCAACTGTTACAAGCCAATTTAGGCATGCTAGGAGCCACTAACTTGTCGAGCATCATGTACAATTTGATGCACTGGAAAAACTTTCAATGCTTGGCTGACAAGATCTTGAGAATTGAAGAAAACTTATAGTATGCCCCTCTGAGAGGCAACAACATAAGAGATGCGGGTTTGTGCGACAGTCTCTCTTTGACGCGGTTAGGGCCTCAAACATCAGTGTGAATAATAGAAAAAAGTTTTGATGGTTTATATGGTTGTATTGGAAATTAGGAATGGTGATGCTTTGCAAATCTGCGTGCTTTACATTTAAGCAAAGAAAAGTTCTTATTATGAAATAACTTAGGAAACAAGTGTTTTAAGTAATGAAAACTAGGATGACCTAATCGTAAATGTCATATCATAATATTGTCATCTTTATTATTCAAACAGAAAAATACTCAAAGCATGAACTTATTGTTTTGAAGGTAGTTATGATGCAAATCCAATGTCAAGGTAGTAGAATCCTCCATTTTCCTTAGCACTGTCAATCATCTTCTCCAAGTTCAAATCCTGAAAGCACAGTGAGATCAAAAAAAATTAGTTTGATAGTTTATATCTTGGGCTAATTTACTGAAGGACATTAAATTACATGATAAGTTTGAAATATGAAGGAAATCTTTTTAGAGTTAACACTGGAGATAACACAACCGACCCTTTACCTGCAACTACTGAAAAAGAGTCATCTGCAATTTTTATGTTTTGATTAGCTACACATGGATTATATGAAGAGAACAAAGTGGATTCACCTATCATGTGCTCAGAGGCACATGAATCTACTATCCAAGTGTGGCTAGGACTGACACTAAAATATGCAGAATTACCTTTTGTTGCTATAGATCAAGAAAGAGTTAGAGACCCGAGATGTTTGAGCAGTTTGTCTAGTTTTTTTTGTAGTGAGTGGAAGCTGAGTCGAAGATGATTGCTACCCTTGATCAAAATTACTAGCTTGAAATGCACGACCATATTTCTTCTTCCAGTTATGAAGTTTGCCTTTAAGCTTCCAATAATTTTCATGCATATGCGATTCGCGCTTGCAGTGATCACACCAAGGAACTTTATTAGACCTTTTTCTCTCGTTGAGGTTTCTAGAAGTCAGAGATGAGCCTTCATATTTAGAGCTTCACGGTGTCTTGCCCATATAATTTCTTGTCGTGCTTCCCCCTTCTTATCACTGCAAAAGTTTCACGAAGAGTTGACAATAGTATTTTTCCTAAAACTCGACCTCTTACCTCATCAAGATCTTTATTCAGCCCAGCGAGATACATGAAGACACAATCTTTTTATTTCCTCTTGATAAACAAAACACTATCTTCTGCACACCTCCAATTATCATTATAACAGAGGTCCAACTCTTACCACAGGATCAACAACTCATTGTTATAAGTAGTTACACTCTTGTCACCTACTTTAGTATGCCATAACTTCGATTTTAAACTAAATTTTTTGGAGGAATTTTGAATATCAGAGTATGTTTCCTTAATAGCTTTCCACACATCTTTTGTAGAAGGCAAAAACATGTATGATTTACCTATTTCAGTTTCCATAGAGCTTACCCACCAAGCAATAATCAAGGAGTTTTCATACTTTCATTGTTTGTAAAGGGGTCTATGTTGAAATTATTGTCACCATAAATATTGTTGTTCCTGTTTCTATTGTTGTCGTCATTAAAAACTCTTGTATGTCGCGATCACTGCCGTTACCGCGGCCACCGCCATCTCCTCTGCCACCGCCACTGCCAGACTCAGGTGGTTGTTCACCATGGTTGGTTGTGATGGATCCAGTGTAGGATTGTGCTTGAGAATACCACCTACTATTGTGATTTGCCATAAAGGGTTAAACAGATATGTGGTGCGGGTCAGGTAAGAAAACATGTGATACCATATTGAAAGATAATAGAAAAATGTTTTTCTGATTTATTCCTTAGCCAAGGATTGATATTTATAGTGAGAATACAATTAGTTTCCCCTCTAAATTAAGGAGAAAATTATTACATTGAAAAATAAAAGGACATAATAGAATTATCTAAAATTTGCCTAAAAATCAGAGAACATTTCACGTGTTCTCATTTTCAATTTTGATTTGGTCTAATGGTCCATAACATGAGTTTTATAAGAAGAAATGAATATTCATATGGGATGTCATCTGTCAATGAAATTCATCCTTGTGTAAACCTATTTGGCTTGGATCCAAATGTTTGACAAGGTTTTGTTTTATTGCATCATAGTATGACAGTACAATCACCCCCTTCTTCAATACAAAGAAAAAATGAACTTATATTGAAAAACTTGTTGAAAATAATTGGATGATTAGTCGATCACAAAAACTAAATATAGACACTAGAACACCACAATATCACGTGATAAATAAATTAACATCATATATGGAGCAATATGAACAAAAACTGAGCAAAATTTATTTGTAAATTATCATATACACTTGATGCATCACATAGTGTTCTTGATGTAAACAGAAAACTTTAAAAGTCTCAGCCTCTCAGCTTGTTGAGAGTTACTGAGTTAGTACATGTATAAACTTCAGTTTCGAAGTTGGCCTAAAAGCTAATAACAGTAACACAATAAATCAAAAGCTTCTCAGAATAGCATTTGGCTTTTTCTGATTGCGGCTATACCAGGATAGAAGAAATTTCCCATTGTATGAACTTGATCTCTTCATTGGACTAGGAATACCCTGCAAATATCTTGCTGACCTAAAAGAAAAACTAGTACTATTACTACCTTTAGATGTAGTTGCCAAATTCTCACTTCCATTAACCTTCAAAACACTATCTTCATTACCATTACATTCTTTTGATACAACAATTGCAAGAACATTATTGATACCTGCAACAAAAGAATCGTCCATAGAAACCGATCTCCTAGGCCGATTACTAATACTACCGCTAACCGCATCGACATCTGGTCTTCCATTTTCACATACCTCCAATTGCCCTCCTTCATCTTCTTCTTCTGCAGCCCCATTCCTCAATTCAGAATCAAAAACCCTATTTTCAAACCCTAAATTGGATTGAGTTTCAGCACTATTTTCATCAGAAACCTCAATTTGTGCATGAGAATCAACAACAATAGATTCTAAAGATTCAACCCTTGGAATTGTAGGGTTAGTATTAAGAATAGGAGCTCTACACATAGGACAATTAGTATGAGAAGTAAGCCACGTATCAATACAAGGTAAATGAAAAGCATGATGACACTTAGGTAAAAGTCTGAGACTCTCATCTTGTTCAAACTCACTCAAACAAACAGAACATTCAGTTCCTTCAATCAAACCTTCACCTTTCTTATACTTACAAACACTAATTGCATTTATAACTGATTCATGAAGACCTTGAGTTCGAATATACCAAATTGGATGATCCACAACAGATTCATTATGTTGTTCATCATCAAAATTCATCACCTGGATTTGTTGAAGCCTTGCTGATAATGATGATGATGGTGGTGGTGGTGTTCTTGTCCTTGCCACTGCACTTGACCTAAACCTTCTTCTTCTTGAACTACAATTCACATAAATTGCACGAATACAAACAAGTAAGAAAATAAGAGCAAGAAGAGAAAGAATGATGATGAAGTAATTGGTGATTTTGTGCTGGTTTTGATTTGATGAGGAGTAGAAAGGAAATTCTTGTGGTGGTGGTGGAGGATAATAGTAATAAGGGTATTGAGGATTGGTTTTGAGGCAGTTTTTGAAGCAATTAGCGCAATCATTGTTCAATGAACATTTAGATACAGAGTTTATTCCATGACATATCAACTCGCATAACTCTGGGATCAGTTTTCTGTGACCATGTTCCATGTTTTCGTCTAAGTTGAACTTGTTGACGATGGTGATAAAGTGAGGTTTACAATTTTGACTTTTCAGCTTCCATTGTACGAGTACTATATTATTATTGTAATGTTTATGTTAAATGGAATCTTATACAAATATGAATGGAGTGTAATAATCCTCTAGGGAAAATAATTCGTCTTGGACTTTTAAGATATTTGATTTGATTGATTTTTATGTGGACAGTTGGCTAGTTGGACTTCACTTTCAAATTCAATTTATATTAGGAACTAGTCGATAATTCGTGCTGTCGCACGGGGCCGGTCGAGAATTCATAAAACGTGGAACTAATGTTGTCATGTGACAGTAAATTCGTTTTTATGTAATTCAATAAAAGTTCATCTAATTCGGCCAAATTTAGTGCATCAAACTTATTTGACAACATTAAAAAATGTAAACTGGAATCATGATTGTGTAACAAAATAAGAAACTGTGATGACTCTTCAAAATAAGAAACTATCACGAGTCTTCAGATACAACGCAACCAGCTTGGAAACGATGTTTTCAACTTTTTGACCCGCACAATAAATTATGCAAAAATTAGACAGCATTTACGGAAACAATTTATATTAAAGAAAATATTTGTTATTATGTACTTACCGATCAACAAAGAGATTGGAAAACTTCTTTGTATACAACATTTGTAGTGATAGATGTTGATACATTCATACTATCATGTATTAAAATCTTCAGACCACTTTTGCTTGTAACTCTTGAAATGGCTACATACAACTGGCCATGACTGAATACAGGAGTAGGCAAATACAATCCAACTGTATCAAGTGATTGGCCTTGAGACTTATTAATTGTCATTGCGTACGACACAATAATTGGGAATTGTTTACCTTGGGATTTGGTAAACAACCGCTGATCCTCCAAATGGTTACTTATTTGGTTACTCGCAGGATCGATCAGATTGATCCTAGGACATAGGTTGATTTTGAAGTTTTGATTAAATTGGATAAGACTTTAAATAAAGAGGCTTTAAATAAAATAAAGAGGTTTCAAGTAAATTGCATGAAGAAAGGACTTGGTAAAATAAACAAGGCTTAAAGTAAAAGACTTCGACAGGAATGTAAAGAGGAAAGCAAGTAAATTTCTGGAAAAGTAAATGACTTTGATTAATAAAATTGGTGTTTCACACATACATTTCTCAACAATTCTTTCTCACACGCTGGGTACTCGAATCTATATGAGTGACTTTGTATAGAATTGTGAACACACGCGAGAACTTACATGACTACTACTATTTATACTAAAACATCCCAAGTAACCGTCGGGCAGTTACACTGCTTCGAGATGATTCCACTTGGCACGTTCTCAACGTTCGACGCTCCAGATCTTTGCACGCTGCACGTGGTAACTGCTGGAAACCGTTTTCCCTCCAAAAGCTTGAATTTCAAACTGCTCCACTCTGAACCATCGAACACTTTCGTCGAGAGACATCTTCGACGAAGAGACATCTTCGACGAGAAACTCCTTCGACGTCGAAGGCAACCAACTTCTCCCTTGGAAGAAATCTTCTAAGTACTTTGCCATCTTTCGACGGGCATTTCGACAGACTTAGCCAGTCGAAAACATCCTTCAGCTTTAATGGCTGACATCAACAAAACAAAGGTGTCGAATTTAGGAGCCAACAAATTGCCCCCCAAGAATGCCTTATTTCGACTCTGAAAGAAAAAGGCATTCTTTGAAACGCCATTCGACACCTGTCTTTTCACGCTTAGTCACAAATTAACTTGTGCACTTTTTGTTGTTTTCTACCAACTATTGGCAATCCCAAGAAAACCATCATTTATCCGTACCTAGGACGTCACTTTCAGTACGGCGTGCAGTACCAAACGTCATTTCAGAATTTGTCATTATGACAATTCCCAAAAACGAGGACGCACGCTGCGTCCCTCTATTTCTGCAGAACGGCTAAAACAACAGGGGGCTGCCACGCGTCCCACTAGCTCCTGCAATAATTAAATGGCATTTAATGTCCTCGGTTTTGGGGATTTTCCCCCACTACTATAAATAGCAGTAAGTACCCCATTGTGGGACTTTTTACGCCATCTAGCTTTCAAACTTCTCTGTTTTCATACAACTTGTCATCTTTGCAAAAACATTTCCTCCTTCACTTCGTCTTCAACCTCAACACTAACAATGGCATCTGCTTCCAATGCTCCTGGCGCTACTGTACCATCTGAAAACGCTAAACCTAAGGTTTTCGTCACTGCTCCAGTAGTAACTTCTACAGGCAAACGAAGGGTTCCTGAACCCTTGGACATCGCCGTTCGCGATGCCTACTCACGCCACCTTATGATCCCGGTTGGATACTCCAACCAGATCTTTGCTATGTCTGGCCCCATGTATCCAAGTATCTCTGAGGCTATGAAGATCAAGAGCTATTTCCCGGTAGTTGAGAAACTCAAACCGGTTGCATGCGCCAAGAAAGACGCAGAAGACAATGAAGACCCTGCACATGAAAAAATCGACCTCCGCTTCTTCAAAAGAGGTGTTAGGGCCTTCAGGTTTGGCCCTAGCCTTACTCCTGATTACGTTGCTTGGCTAGAAAAGATGGAGAAGCACCAAACTTCGATCTGGAAGGATATGGGGATTTTCGACTTGGTGATGCTGTCGAAGACAGGTTTGAACTATTCTCCGGAGATGCTGATAGCTTCTCTGCTGTTCTGGGACTACTCCCACTTTACTTTCCATCTTCCCTGTGGGATGCTAACCCCCACACTCTTCGATGTGGCCGCTATTACTGGCCTTCGACTCACCGGGGACTACTTCGATCCGGAGGAGATGTCGGAAGATCAAATTGGCTTCTCTGACACCAAACCAACATACACCACTTTCATCAACCACTATCACGACAGGTCGACAGATGCTGTGTCGGATGTCGAACACATAGCGTTTCTAGCCCTATGGCTGACTCGCTTTGTATTTTGCTCGAAGTCTTTACAGGTGACCAAAAAGATGGTCACTCTCGCTACTCAACTGCATCATCGCCAAAATATCTGTTTGGCAGAACTGATTCTGGCTAGCCTCTATGATTCGATCAGCAATGGGGCAACTCTTCTAAAAATTATCGAGAACAGGGCCAGTTTGCTACTTGCTGGGCCTTTTTGGCTGCTCCAACTGTGGCTCAATGCCACTTTCGAATCTTTCTTGCCTAAGAAGGTTCAGATAAATGAGCAGGCTCCAGAGATAGCGAACAGACGCGTCGAAGGAACCAGGCTGGCTCTGTTGACACCTATGGAAGATGGACTGGAGTTTCAGCAAACCTTCACCAACTTCGTTCTGATGTTTGCTCGAAGGAAAGAGTTTGTTTCAACTATGGATCCATTTGCTCGACGGCAGGTAGGCCCAGCATGGTTCACAAGGCCACATCCAAGGACGTCGAGTGGTCCTAATGTTGACGAACATACAATACTGTGGGAGGCGTTCCTCACACCAAGGATCATGCCTCTTCGATTCAGGAGCTCTAAGACTCACTTGAGTCTGATTGCATACCAACCAAACCTGGTATCTCGCCAGTTTGGTATTATCCAAACCCTACCTTCTCTGATTTTTCCAAGAGAGAAGTCAATGTTGTACTTCTGCAATGATTACACCGAAGAAGCTGCCATCAAGCATATCGGAAGATATGCTGGTCGAACAGTTCTCTCGTTGTTTGACTACCAGCTCAATTTTCTTTGCTCACCATCCTTCGAGGAGTGGTGGAAAAGCTATTATGCTGAGGAGTTCTTCGACGAGAAGGACTTCATGGATGAGCTTCAGAAATCTTTTGTCCTTGTGTTGGACAAAATAAAGAAATGTAAGTTCATCCTTTTACATTACTTTGTCTTTTTTTCGACTGCTAGCCTGTTAACTTTTTTATTTGCTTTCAGTTGTTCGAAAGCCTGTAGCCAAGAAGGCTACAGAAGGCCAACAGGGAGGAGGCCCTTCAACAAAACCTCCACCGCCGGCGAAGACTACAGCACCGGCGAAGACCACAAACAACCAACAGGGGGAAGGCTCTTCGAAGAAGCCTTCTATATCGGTAACCAGACTTTCATTATTTCCTCCTGGCTTTCGATTTTTGACTTTCGATGCAATTGTTAAATCGAATTCCCATTGGTTTTCTAGGCACCTTCGCCCAAGAAACGGCCAGCACTGGTGGTCGAATCTGGGAGCGATGAAGAAAGTGATTCTCCTCCTGCCCCTCTAAAAAGGCGAAAGTTGACGAAGGATGCTCCTGTTCCTGCTCCTGCTCCTGAAGGTCGAACCATCAGAATAAAGGTTGCTGGGAGAAAGCCTAGGCCACCTCCAGTGATCATTGAGGAGCCAACGGAGGAGGAACTAAACGTTCTTCTTAACAAGCCTGTCGAAAGCGACAATTCCAGCCCTGGGGCTGAAGCTAATTTACAGGTAATCTCTTAGACCCTTTTATAACTTAGGTATAGATACCCATATTCGATTGTGTCTCTTTCGATCTCTGAAGATTTGTCTTCTTTCCTTTTTCAGGACACCACTGAAAGTTCTCCGCCAAGGACCTCTGAAACGCTGGAATCTGCTGAACTCAGCAGGCCACAAGAAAAAGGCTTGGGAAATGACGAAGCCCATACTGAAAATGAGGCCAATGCTGAAACGGTAGAAAAACCAGCAGAGGAACCTCAAACGGAGGAACAACAGCCAGAAGCGGTTCAGGTGGTGGATCTGTCAGAAGAGAATCATGAAGAAAGGGACCAAGGCAATGCTGGCGAAGAAAATCAAGGTGCTGCTAGCGAAGAGAACCAAGGTGACACTGGCGAAGGGCACCAAGGTGACGCTAGCGAAGAGCACCAAGGTGACGCTGGTACTGCCCCAGTCCGAGTCGAAGAGCAACAAGTCGAGGCACCTAACACTCAACAGCCTCAAACCCAAGACAATGCTGTTGCAAGGGTTACCTCAACGAAGCACAGGTTAAAAGAGGACTTAGAACTCTTGAAACAAACTGA